GCTTGACTGGCGGTTCAAGTCTTTATTATCCAGACGGATCCGTCACTTGCATACTAATGTTGGGAAGCCCAGACGTGAATTGAGGAGGGTGGGGGGGGGGGAAGGAGCGTATGAGAAATAGGCCTCCCTGGAGAAAGGAGGCTCTCCGTGGGAACGGGGGCCTCGCAAAACCAGGGACGCTGCAGCAGGCGGAGTTAGCCTGAAAGAGCCCTCGTCCCTACGAGGACGTCAGACAGGAAAAAAAAGATCACGGACAAAGAGAGAACGAAATAATAATTTCAAGAAAGTTTAAAAAGTCGAACTAAAGTGACTGTACAGTCGGCTGAGTGGGAGTTTTATTCTTCTGTATTTAATTTATGAAAAAGTAAAGGTCTCCTGAAGGTCTAAAGTACATGGATACACAGTCACCCACAAGTACACAGAGACACAAGAGCCATCTTTCCCTCTCTCTCTTTCTCTCTCTCTCTCTCTCACACACACACAGGTTTGTAATTATATCTTTGTGAGGACTCTCCATTCATTTCTATGGGGAAAACTTTAATCCCAACATTTCGACCTTAACCCCGACCCAGCCCTAACCTTAACCATAAGTAACCAAACAAAATACGAGACTTTTGGCATTTTTAGTTTTTTGATTGCATTCACAGATCATTGCGGGGACCTGCAAAATGTTCCCCACAAAGTCAAAATAACAGGGTTTTATTTCATTGTGGGGAACATTTGGTCCCCACAATGTAAAATAAGCATAATCCCCCCCCACACACACACACATACACACACACAGGCAGACACACACTTTCCACACCCTTCTATGAAGGTTCTTTTCCGATGACATTATCATGGTAAGTGAGAGCAGCGCCGTTGCTGGGCTGCTTTTCAGTGGCAGCCGCGGGGGTGTCTGGAGCCCCAGGGTGCGAGAGTAAGGCCAAGGGTGCACTGCCAGAGGCCCCCTGTCCCCCCAAGCCTCCGTGTTATGTCTCCCCAACAAAGACGTAGCCCCTCATTAAAAATACATGTCAGCAGATCACACCTCGCATGAATCAACGACCCCCCCCCCAACCCTAATGAAAAGGAGAGCTGCATCTAGACTGTGAATGGCGACCGAAGATGGCTACGCCAACAGGACGTAACAGTGCCCCCCCGTCCCCCCCGGCCCACAGGAAACACCTCCTGGCAGTGTGTGTAAAGCGGAGGGGGGGGGGGGGCGGTTGTCAATGAGTCTGTCTGTTAGCCTATGCTAATTCTTAAAAAAGAAAGACTTACAGACCTGACATTTTAATACCTTGATGGATGAAATGAACAGACTACCGCGATGGATAGAAACACCAGCGCCGGCGCGATACCCGGAGATTTACTCAGTCTTCGCCTGCCTCGCAGTTACTTAGCAGCCTGATGGGCAGAAAAGATGCTGGGGGGGGGGGGTAGCAGCTCCGAAACCAGGTCGGCAGGCATCTCCCTGGACACCTCTTCCACCACGGGGGGCCTCGCTCAATTACTGTGAGGGTTGCATAATTCCCCGGAGGACTTTGCAACGAGGACATCGAGTTTGCTTTCGCTTCCTCCTCCAAGTGGGTTAAAGCACGGATATCTCAGAAGTACCCAGATATTAACTAACACCTCCCGCCCCCGTAAACCTTGTAAAGAGACAGTATGTAAATTTACACACGCGCATGCAAATATAGGGTAATGTGGCTAACGGCTAAATGCTAACGGCGGCGCATGGAGTCGCGGGAGCTGCAGTTCCCCCTGCGCCCCCTTATTTTGTTTTCTTATCACACTCCGAGAGGAAGACCCCAAGGCTGTCTGCTCCAACTGCCTGATAAAAAAAAAAACAAGCCAGCACCAATAGGCTTCTCTGAAAGAGAGCAAAACTGCTTTTACTAAGAGTAGCCAAGAATAAATCTAAATACATTAACATACGAAATAAAATATTTTGCATGTCCTAAATATGTGTGGAACAATGTAAAAGTGAATCAAATACAAATGCAGACGGGATTGAGAGAGTTATATGCTGAAATGTGCAAACAGACTTGAAGATCCTGTACAATGTGTATCTGTGGGGGGGGGGGGGGCGCGGTGTTAGCGCAGGTGCACAATGCTGTGTCATCCCTGTGTTAGCGTCCCCTCAGCAGGTGCGGGACAAGGGACAGATTGAGAGAACTAGTTATGGGGGGTGGGGTGCACGAAAATGCCCCCAGCCGGGCTGCCTTTTTGCTGACATGGTGATAAGACAGTGGGGTGGGGGCCACGAGGAAACGAGGGAACGAGGGGAAGGTGTGTACCGAGGCAGGGACGCCAGTAGGGGGACATGAGTGGGTCTCACAAGCGTGCTGCTACTGAGCTTGATTTCAGCGTGCGTTGAGACGATTACACCCGGGGGAGGTGCAGAGGGGGTGTGAGAAAGTTGGGGCGGGGGGGGGGGGGGTGCAGACACGTCTATTGTGCCAGTGTGGAGGAAAGCCCCTTTCAGCTGAGCTAATGAAGCTTACACCGCGACGAATAATGGGATCGACAGCAGGGAGGGAGCCTGCCACCTTCCCCTGTTCCCTATTCAATCACACGCCCCCATGACGAGGATGTGGCCCCGCCTCTTAAAGGGACAGAGCCGTCACAGACGACCGCGTGCCGAGCGGGTGTCGCTACATCCGTGCAGGACGGCAAGGTACATCACGTGGGTGGCTGCTTTTAACAACCCCCCCCCCCCCACCCCGATCTGGCTGCTTATTAGGGTTTCTCCTGTGGATAGAAATTTACCAGAATTCAACCGGTTACACTCTGACGACTAATGGTTTGTATGCACATGGTCCTGTCTCCACGCCACCCCTGTGTACTTGCAACCCCCAGCTGTCCATATCAACGGGACACTAAGTACAATTCCCATAAACGTAATATACCCATAATATAAAAACTTGATTGAAATATTTCCTGCTTTTAGCCTATTACTCTCTTTATCAATTTTATTTCTTCTCTAAACATACAAAAGGGCTGATTTATTCATTATATATGTTTGACTGAGGCATATTTGTTGACACAAATTACTGTGTTATTCATTTTAGCAGCAATTACAAGATCAGCACAGACTGATGTTCTCATCAAAATGGATATGACTTGCACCTCTGTGAAACTGCAGAGTTCTGGCTGGTACTGCCCTATGGAGCAGGGATGGCTGAAGCCGACCGTTAGGGGGGAAGACGACGATCTTTTACCCATAAATCAGGGTATCGCTGAAGCCGACCGTTAGGGGGGAAGACGACGATCTTTTACCCATAAATCAGGGTATCGCTGAAGCCGACCGTTAGGGGGGAAGACGACGATCTTTTACCCATAAATCAGGGTATCGCTGAAGCCGACCGTTAGGGGGGAAGACGACGATCTTTTA